TTCGGAACAAATAGCTTTGCTCTGGTAAAAGGGGCAGCTCAGTAGGCCACTGACACCAGCTAGGATTCACCTTAAACATGGTGCAAACACCCAGACTTTACACCACCAATAGCAGTGTGAGTTGAGGCTGATTTCTCAAGCTTCCCCACTTGAACTCAATCCTGGAGCAATTGTTCCCAACCTGTACTCAACTTTGCTGCTTTTAGACTTTACACATTTGCCTGGAAGCTTTCCTGTACCTCTGGTACGCACTGGTGTTTTCTTTCCCTTGGAAAGATTGATGGGGAGGGAAAGGGATCTAAAACCTCATGTGCATTTGACTTGCTTAATGTGTTATTAGGCCTAGTTTCTTGTTTAGTGTTACTGGTTGTGAAGTCCTGCTTCCTAGTGATGATATAAAAAGGCATGAAGTGAGATTGGGCTTTCTGCAGAGGTGTGCAGTCACATTGCTTCCTTGCAAAAGCCAGCTTGCTTTACAAATGGACAAAGCTGAGGAGGGAAGCAGAGTTAAAATAGAATCATAGAATCAACTGGGTTGGAAAAGACCTTTAAGATCATCAAGTCCAGCCTTAACCCCAGGACTGCCAAGTCCACCACTAACCAACCCATGGCACTGAGTGCCTCTCCATCCAAAATAGTTGATACCGTGACTGTAGCAGTCTTATGAGGACAAATTCCTGATAACTTCTGGTGTAGACCCAGGACATGCTAGTCTTGTATTTAACCTAATGGGATGTCAGTTCTGTCCCATTTATGCAACCCTTTGTGCACTAAACTCGATTTGTAGTTGGGTGTAGGTGCTAGAATGTCAATATCCCATATTTGTTGGCTTGATGCATGTATAAGATGCACAGCTTGGGGCGGACTGGTGTGTCTGAGCCATAGAAGCAAACCCACATTGACAGCTGGTGGAAAACCGAGTTGACCCCAGTGAGTAGAGACCTGTTTTAAGAAGAGCAAAGGAGACTTCAGCCTTTCTCCAGCCTCAGCCAGCTGAGCTGTGCATGCCATGGCTTGGAAGGGAACAGGGACACTGCAGTTGCTGCTCAGGCTGTTGCTTCAGAGCCCACTCTGCTCCCAAAGCACAGAAGCAGCAGTGCTGCTTCCAAGCTGACTTCATCAGCTCCTTGAGTGTTCAAAGACCTGGTGCTGCTTTTATGTGGATTTAGTGTCACCCCTGCCCTCTGGGTGACGGCTACCAAAGGACTCTGCTGCCTCTTCAAGCTCTGTTGGTCTTGACTGGATTCTAGTTCCATTTGGAGACAGCCTGCTGCACAGTAAATGCCCTATTAAGCAGTTAATTATTTCTCTATAATACTAGCTTTTATCTTTAATACAACAGTTTTACTGTCTCTGATAATTACACAGTCTCGGATAACTCTCTTAAATCTAATGAGGCATGACAAGCTGTGTTCAACAAGGCAAGACACCATTAACTTCTTGCCTCTTACTTGTCATCTTATCGTGCTGAATTACTGTATTTCTAGCCTGAGTGGCTGTGGATACGTAACATGTCACTTCTCATTAAGAAAATACTGAGAATCATCCCGGTGCTCTCATGGTCAGGTTAGTGGTCAGCTTGGTGGCCTACAGACCCCTCCAACTGCAGCATCATGCTCTTGGCCACATGAGCTGAGCATGATAGGTTCAGTTTAGGTACTTCTGGCTCTTCAAACAGCTAGGTTGGTCCATGGGTCTCTTGTTTATGGGTGAGTGAAATGCAAGTGGCCTTTTGAAGGGCATCAGGGATGACAGACCTTGTTTGTGTTGGTGGAAGTTACTGCTTCATCAGGGATTGTAGTGATAGGACAAGGGGTGATGGGTTGAAACTGAAACAGGGAAAGTTCAGGTTAGATATAAGGAAGAAGTTCTTCATTGTGAGGGTGGTGAGGTGCTGGCACAGGGTGCCCAAAGAAGTGCTGAATGCTCCATCCTTGCCGGTGTTCAAGGCCAGGTTGGACTTGGGCAACATGGTCTAGTGTGAGGGGTGTCCCTGCCCATGGCAGGGGGTTGGAACTGAATGATCTTAAGGTCCTTTCCAACCCAAAGGATTCTATAATCTTGTGGTGGGATTTAGCTGGATAAGGGAAACAATGTGTTTTTTTCTGGACAGGGATAGGACACAAACTGCTGCATCAGTGCCTGGTGTAACTTGACATGACTGCTGCTTCATTACTCATTAATGTCAGTAATGAATCAGATCGTTGGAGTGCTGCTTTTCTATGGATTGGATAGTGTCACTAAAACCCCTCCATGTGCTTGATTGAAATCCTGGGCTATGGGGATTGTCTTTTCATATATTGTGCTTTCACCCTGCCAGTAAGAGTAGTGCAAAGTTGTACTTCTGGAATGTTGAGGCTCAGGCAGGGAAGCTCCTGCATCCTTCCAGGCTGGACCAGGAAGGCATTTCAGGGGAATGAGCCCAGGCTGTCCCGTGGGTCAGATGTGCTCAAGTGCATCTGGGCTGAGCAGGTCAGTTAATTACTGTCTAGATACAGAACAGCAAAGAGCCCTCTGTTTGGGATGTGTCCATCCGATGCCTTGGTGCTTTACCCCAGCCTTTACTGAGCCTGCTGCTGGCTCTACTTCTTGAGGTGGATTTGCCTTCTGGTCTATGTATGAGTTGTGCTGTCTAAGCTGTGTATTTCCCCACTGAGCATAGGAGGAAAAGCCTTATTTCAGGTTATAACCCCAGTCATTCACATTCCCTGGGGGTATTTTATGGGATGCCCACGGGACTAGCTACTGTGGTGTGCCTGAATTAGATCAGTTCCTGGCTCTAAAAGGGGATTTTTTTTACTTGGAAGCTATTTGCTTCTCTGCAGTTTAATTAACTGAAAGGCTAACAAGTAAGAAGAATGTAAATCTGCAAGAGAGCTGGATATCAAGTTGTGTTTAAAATTGTGCTGGCCTTATCAACAGTGTTGGTGATCTAAACTGGACCAGAGGTGTTGAGTGTGCCCTGTTCCTCCCATGGGCAGTAAGGAAACTCGTGTCTATAGGGACAGAGACGCAGAGCAGAAAGAACATGCAGCTCTGGTGTCCCTGTCTTCATATCCACAAGTTGCCCTGGGAAGTGTCCTCATATGCCAAGAACTGTCAGCAGTGAAAAAAGTCCCTTTGGTTGTACATTTGAAAGCGGTGGATGCTTTCATGAAGCTGGATGGAGATGAAGAAAAAATAGCTGTGATAAAGTGGGATGGTGGGGATGTGTTCTGGCTTCTGGTTGTTTTAAAAGGAGCTACAGGGCTTCAAATTGTGAACACTTGGTTATGATAAAACCTAATCATGTGTTTGGGCTCCTGTAGTGTGTGTCCTCTTCAGTACTCCGTGCAGTGGTTTGCCTGGTTTTGGGCAGAGCTGGGGTGTACAGCAGGATTTGGTGATTGATGCTCACAATAGGTACTCCTGGGGTGGTTTCTGTAACAGGGTCATACAGTGTGTATTGATTCATACTCAAGTGTTCTGCTGCTTTCAGGCTCCTGGTTTCACTAGATGGCACCACCAAGCAGCAGCTCTGCTCTCATCCCTGTCAGGGTGTTAGAGAGAATGCACTGAACCATTATTTCTGACCATTTCCCTCCAAAACCATCACAGCTCCTTATTTTTAGCCCTGGATCCTGTTCAAGTGTGTATGGGGACTGATTGTGACAGCTTTAACCTGCTGGTGGTGACAAGGAGAGTGATTGCAGCAGCAGAGGCGAGGATGGGGAGCTGCATCCTGTGTCCACCTGAGATTTGGAGGCAGCGTGCTTGGGGCAGCAGCTGTAAGGATGATGTCTGTAGCTCTAGATGTAGCTGTTGGCAGCCTTACCACAATGCAAGACAGTGCCACTGAATGCTCTTTACTTCGGGGGTATCCTTTTCTTCTAATTAATAAATCTAATGTAGTGTAAAAGCCTATTCCACATCTGCTTGTTCCAGAGCATTGGTACCTGTGGGTTTAAAGGGAGAAGAGTTGGCCTGGTAGTTGGTGCTTTCTAAGACAGGCTCCTAGCTGGAGTGATAGCAAACCAGTCAATAATGACTTCTGCATGAGATATGGAACTTAGTATTTTTCTATTAGCAGCTCCTGATTGTGGATGTACAAACTGGTTGAGCCCAAGGAGAGCATCAGAGCTCTGTGTCAAATTAACTAGGCCCTTCTGAGATGCTTCTGCAGTGCTCAGTTCATGGAGAGCTTGGGAGCTAGAATCCCAGAATGGTTTGTGTTGGAAGGGACCTTCAAAGCTGATCTAGTCCAGTCCTCCTGCAATGAGCAGGGACATCTTCAACTAGACCACGCTTCTCAAAGCCATGTCCAACCTTGACTTTTCAAGGAAGGAAGAGTTCCATCCACTGTCTTAGGGCATATTCTTGGTGGTACTGAAGCCATGTGTCCAAGATCACTGCTCCACAGTGGTAGCCAGTGGGCATGCAAAATAGTGTGTAATGAGATAAGGTTTTAATCCTAGCTGGCATGGAGCCATATCAGCTCACAGGGGGTTTGGGGATTGGCATTGGTACCTTCATGCTGGAGATGGATGCAGGGCGCTGCATCCTTCAAGGTCTTCTGGTCCTGTTATCTGCAAGAGGAGATGGCTTTATGGCCCTGCTGTGACCCCAGAGCTTAGTGAACTCATGGGCTGTAACCATGTCAGTGTCAGTACCATCATTTGTTTGCCTGGAAGAATTACTAGAGCTGGTAGACAGTGATGATCCCTGCCTAGCTTCCCTTGGGTCACTTCCCATGGCATGATCATGCTGCTGCTGAAGGATGCCAGAATCAAACACCTACCTCCCAAACACCTCTGCTGTGCCTCCTTTTGACCTGTGGGTGCACAATGTCTCTCTGGTCAGTTGGGGGCCAAGTCGCTCGGATTTGCTCAGCTTCAGACTGGGGGATACTGACAGTGCTCCAGAGTTCTTTGACTGCTTCTGCATTGAAGGTTGGCACAGCCTGCACTTGTGTATCGGTTCAGCTCTGCTGGTTGATATAACCTCTCTCATTCTCTTTGCAGTAAAACGATTTAAGGAACCAAAGGCAGAGAGGCGTCCCTGGAGGATATGGTGAGACTTTCATTTGGAGTTTGATTAGCCCATGAATATGGAATACTATTTTCTCTTGTACTGGCAACCTTCTAGGCCCTCTGAATATCTTAGAATCCCAGAGTGGTTTGGGTTGGAAGGGACCTTAGAGCTCCTCCAGCTCCAACCCCTGCCACGGGCAGGGACCCCTTCCACTGGAGCAGCTTGCTCCAAGCCCCTGTGTCCAACCTGGCCTTGAGCACTGCCAGGGATGGGCAGCCACAGCTTCTCTGGGCACCCTGTGCCAGCGCCTCAGCACCCTCACAGGGAAGAGCTTCTGCCTTATCTCCAACCTGAGCTTCCCCTGTTTCAGTTTGAACCCATCACCCCTTGTCCTATCACTCCAGTCCCTGATGAAGAGTCCCTCTCCAGCATCCCTGTAGGCCCCTTCAGACCCTGGAAGCTGCTCTGAGATCTCCAGGCTGAACAGCCCCATTTAGTCATTAAAGGAAATGCTCTGCTCCCAGGGACACTTCAAGAGAGGAGCTGGTGCTCCCTAGAATAGAACTCTCTGTCTAGCTCCTCTAAAAAAGCTTGGGTTTACTGTAGGTGATGGAACAGAGAGGTTTTGGTCCCCTCCAATCTGCTGGCATGGGGGCTGCCTCCCAGACAGGGTCAAGTCTTGTTCTTCAATTCAGTTAACCACTTTGGTGTCCCCTGAGCCAGCTCAGGCATAGCCCAGTCTGTGTTGATGTAAGGTAGCTGGGTATTGCTACCTCTACAAAGGATCTCTGTCTATTGTAGGGTTTATGGGGTGTAGAGAGATGCGCATATGGGTTGGGCTTGAAGTACAGTCAGGGCAGCTTGGTACCATAGAGCTGCCAGTCAGCGTTAGTGATGAAAAGCCTGTCAGTCTCTTCAGTTTGGTTCTTCCTCTGTAATAACTTGGGAATTCAACCGAATTCCCTGTGGATGGGTGCAAACACTGTAAGTTGCTGGTGTATTTATTTATATTCTTTTTCCTTAAGTATCTGGAGTTGTCCAAACTGCCCCTTACCACCACATACAGCTTCTTGGACATCAGTGTGTCTTGGAGGGAAGCAGATCCACACAGGGCCATTGCTTGGGTGACTGCTGTGCTTCTGGTGCTCCGGGATGCTGATTGTTTTGTCTTTTCCTCCAGGTTTTATGATACATCCAAGCAAGCAATAGGCTCCCTCTTCATCCACTTTGCCAATGTTTTTCTGTCAGATCTCACTGAAGAGGACCCTTGCTCTCTGTAAGTATATGAGGTGCTTCACTTCCTATATCTGGAAAAGGAAGAAGCAAGCCTGTTGGGAAATGCCATGCATGGTGGAAACTGATCTATTTGAAGGACTAAGTGGGGATAAACCGTCTTGAGCTTGTTTTCAGGGTATGGGTTGTCTAATGGTCTTTGCAGTCTGATGGAGAAGCGATGGGGTCATGTTTTCGTGATGATCAGAAGTGTCTGGAAATGGACTGGCAAAAATCTGCAGTAAATAATGCAGTGTGGTCTTGAGGAATTGCCACTGAACACAGCCAGCTTGTACGCAGGCATCCAAGGAGCCCCCAGCATCCTGGCCTGGATCAGCACCAGTGCGGCAGCAGGGCCAGGGCAGGGATTGTGCCCCTGCACTGGGCACTGGTGAGACCGCCCCTTGAATCCTGTGTTCAGCTCTGGGCCCCTCACGGCAAGAGAGACATTGAGGGGCTGGAGCGGGGCCAGAGAAGGGCACGGAGCTGGTACAGGGCCTGGAGCCCAAGTGTGATGGGGAAGGGCTGAGGGACCTGGGGGGTTCAGTGTGGAGAAGAGAAGGCTCAGGGGGGACCTGATGGCTGCCTCCAACTGCCTGAGAGGAGGATGGAGCCAGGAGGGGCTGGGCTCTGCTCCCAAGGAACAAGGGATGGGACAAGAGGAACCGGCCTCAAGCTGCACCAGGGCAGGTTTAGATGGAGCTGAGGAACAATTCCTGCCCCAGAGGGTGCTCAGGCATTGGAACAGGCTGCCCAGGGCAGGGCTGCAGGCACCGGCCCTGCAAGTGTTCACACAGCGTGGAGACGAGGCCTCAGTGCCATGGGGCAGTGGTGGCCTTGGCAGTGATGGGAACGGTTGGACTGGATGAGCTTAAAGGGCTTTTCCAGCCTGGTTGGTTCTGTGATTCTATGTCAAATGCCCCGTTTGTTGGCACCCCAGACTTCGTAATTTGGCTGGTCTCAGGGCAGCGTTGAGAATGTTTTCCTAACCATGTGGGTGAAGGTCCAACATATGGATGTAGTTTTTGGATACTCAGTTGCACATAGAATCATAGAATAGTTAGGGTTTGAAAGGACCTTAAGATCATCCAGTTCCAACCCCCCTGCCATGGGCAGGGACACCTCACACTAAACCATCTCACCCAAGGCCCTGTTCAACCTGGCCTTGAGCACTGCCAGGGATGGAGCATTCACAACCTCCCTGGACAACCCATTCCAGTGCCTCACCACCCTAACAGGAAAGAATTTCCTCCTTATATCCAATCGGAACTTCCCCTGTTTCAGTTTTAACTCATTACCCCTTGTCCTATCACTACAGTCCCTAATGAAGAGTCCATCCCCAGCATCCCTATACGCCCCCTTTAGATACATACCTCTTGTAGTCCTGTTTGGGGGCTTTCTAAGCCAGCTTTTGGACTTAATATAGAAGTGCCACCTTTATGTGAGACCAGCCACTTCACAGCTACAGATTTAGTTTAAGAATTACCTTTATCCTGTTTTGATAAACTCCATAAGGCTTCAGAGTGCTGCTGAAAACCTCCTAGCCCACCTCCCTTTTATGCATTAAAGTGCTGCACATTGATATGTTTCTTGCAACAGAGACAAGTTTGGGGCTAAATACAACCTCTGAAATGATTCATTGTTGTTTTAAACATAATGCTGTTAAAATAAACCTGTTCGTACTTGAGAAAGTGCCTTTGGGTTTCAATGTGTGATTTAAGGTTCCCTGTGCATCATGAACAGGCAGCTGAAAACCCTGCAGCTCTGCCTCAGGGCTTTGAGGTTCCCACACTACGTGTCCTGCCCAGTCTAAACCATCAGAGCCTTGCATTTGTATCAGAAGACCCTGATTTAGGCAGCTTGTACCAAGCTGTTCAGAGACTTTGGGTGTAGGAACAGTTAATGTTGTGATTTTCAAAAGCAGAGTGTTATTTTCAGTGTCTAGAGGTAGGATCAAGTTCTAGATAAGGAAATGTTTGTTCCTGTAGCTCTGTGCTTGGTATTGTCTTCATGCTGTAGAAATCTGGCCTCATCTGATGACAGATACTCCAGTAATGGAAAACTGGTCAGAAAACATCAGTCTGATACTTTTTTTTCCTCTAGAGTTCATTAAAATACCAAGTCCTGGATTAGACTTTAGGCCCTGCAATCTGCAGAAGGTCACTGCAGGTCTCCTGCTGCTGGTGCTCTGTCCACTGAGGCTTAAGCATCCAAAGCTGCAGAACAAGCCCATTGAGCCCATATCTCCTGGTAGGGATGGGTTCAGCTGCTGGATCTGCAATGGGACCCTGAACTGGAGGCTTCTGGTGACCCAAGGGTGCCAGGAAGCTGAGCCAGGACCCATCACCTCTCCCAGGAGCTTCTGCCTCTCCATCTGTGTCTGCTCAGAGGAGCCTCTTGCAGCTGCTCACTCAAATGGACTTTATTCCCCTCCTGCTGCACAGCTGGCAGAGCAGCTGTGGTGTCCAAGAAGCTTCCATTTCCTTGTATGAAATTCCAGGAATGTTTGGTTCTGTTTCTCTGGAACTTGGGGTTTCACCTAGTAAGGACAAATGATGCTGCAAATGGAAAGCATCCTTTCTGGGGGTAACTCTTAAGCAAGGCTAGCCCAGGAGGCATTTAATGCTGTGTGAATAAATGAGTGATGCCAGAGACTTGATGGAGCCTTTTTTGCTAAACAGGCTTTGAGCTAAGAAATTGCTGGTAAGGCTGTAGGAATATCCAGTAAAAGAGTGAGGAAGTGAGCTTGGACTGTTAAGTGGGGATTTCTTTTAAATCTTGGTGTGTTTTTTATGGATCCCCATACTGGAAAAAGAACACTTTTAAATAAGAGCACAACTGAAACCTGACTTTTCCTCTCCTGCCTTCTTTTCCTTAGCTACCTTATTAATTTCATCCTTGATGCCACACTGGGGATGCTGCTGATCTGGCTTGGTGTGAAAGTTGTCTCCTGGGTTGTGCAGCATAAGAAGTACACATACCTGGTCTTCGGAGAATATGGTAGGTGTCATAGCCATAACTGCTCCCAGCTATGAATGGGGAGAAGAAAATGGGAGGAATTACAGTTTGGGGATAAAACAAGTGTTATCTCTTCTCCCGGGAGCTCAAGGAGTGTAGCAGTGATCAGTGTACTGTTAAATGCTGGCACATCACTAGGGCGCAGGTACCTCTGCCGCTGCCTTGCCAAGCATACCTGAGCATAGCAGGTTGGTGGTGAAATCCTTGAGTGGATAATAAAGCCCAGGGCATGTATATGATAAATTGAAGTATTTGGGGATGGTGTTGGTGACTCTTGTGGGGTTCTTTCAGGGTTTTTTTCCTAGCCTCTTAGCTCAAAGCAGGGAGGAGTTCTTGCATTTGCCTTGAGCTGTTGTAGGTATCAACAGTAGGGCCCAACCTGGCCCCAGACCCGAGTTCTCAAATGACTTGTGGGGCTGCGGGAGTGAGGGTTGCCAGATAACAACAACTACTACTAATTATTATTGTTACTGTTATTATTAATATTATTATTAATAATAATATATGCATGCCAGGGTCTTGCTTCTCCAATTCCTGCCTTGAGGCAGTTTCAGCAAAGCCTTTCTCAGCCAGCCCCACTAGAGGGTAGCACTGCTCTTTAGAAAGAGCAGAATCAGCTCCAAGGAGAGCAGTGCTGCTCTGAGGCTGCAGGGAAGGGGAAATTAACCCTTTGTCTGTTTGATCATGGAATGGTTGGAAAGGACCTTAAAGATCATCTAGTTCCAATCCAATATTTTTGTTATATGCTTTATATTTTTCCTTATATTTCATTATATCTAATATAACGACAACTTCAGCCTTACTCTAGAAAATACACCCTATTCCCAGTATCACAGTGTGCTAGAGATTGGAAGGGTCCTCAAAAGATCATCCAGTCCAATCCCCCTGCCGGAGCAGGAACACCTAGATAAGGTTACACAGGAACGTGTCCAGGCGGGTCTTGAATGTCTCCAGAGAAGGAGACTCCACAACCTCCCTGGGCAGCCTGTTCCAGTGTTCTGTCACCCTCACTGAGAAGAAGTTTCTTCTCAGGTTTAAGTGGAACCTCTTGTGTTCCAGTTTGTACCCATTTCCCCTTGTCCTTTCATTGTTTGCCACTGAGAAGAGCCTGGCTCCATCCTCGGGACACTCCCCCTTTATATATCTGTATACACTAATAAGGTCACCCCTTAATCTCCTCTTCTCCAAACTATAGAGACCCAGCTCCCTCAGTCTTTCCTCATAAGGGAGATGCTCCACTCCCTTCATCATCTCAGTTGCCCTGCGCTGGACTCTCTCCAGCAGGTCCCTGTCCTTCTTAAACTGAGGGGCCCAGAACTGGACACAATATTCCAGATGAGGTCTCACCAGGGCAGAGTAGAGGGGAAGGAGGACCTCTCTCGACCTACTAACCACCCCCCTTCTAATACACCCCAGGATGCCATTGGCCTTCTTGGCCACAAGGGCACAGTGTCGGCTCATGGTCACCCTGTCGTCCACCAGGACCCCCAGGTCCCTCTCCCCTACACTGCTCTCTAACAGGTCATTCCCCAACCTATACTGGAACCTGGGGTTGTTCCTGCCCAGATGCAGGACTCTACACTTTCCCTTGTTATATTTCATACCAGTCACAGTCCTACCTTTAAGGTGTTAATCATTAAGTATATTCTGAAGGTAGTCTTATTTCTTTCTGTTTTTAGTAGCTGGTCTGATAACTGAGCTGGTGGAACCTGGCCAAAATGAGGATTATCATATAGACCCTATTAGCTTGTGAGCTCTTATTGAAGGTCGCATTCAGCATGTGTAAATGGATCATGGCACAGAATGGAGGGGGTGGTTGGGTTTGTGAAACAGCAGAAGCAGCTACTGTGTAGATGACAACAGATGGGTTGAAATGATGGGACATGAGAGGAAGGAAGAGGGCTTAAAGGCAGCGGTGATCTCCAAAGCAGGTTCAGCATCCTGATAGCATCTATCTGGTGGGGACTACCTATTTTTCCTTAGTGGCTTATTTCCCAGAGTGCTAACACAACACAGGTGAGACAGCAGAGGAATCCAGTTATTCTTGGTTCATGGATGGCACTTTTTCCCTTTTAAGCAGCAAGGACTCGAAGCCCAACCACAGCCAACCCAGGGCACAGCTTCATGTGCCACGTCTGCAGTTGAGCAGAAGCAAGCATTCAAGTGTACTGACTGCTTGCTTTAACCTTGCAGAGCAGTAAGAGCTTGTGTTGAGCTGTCACTGGCCCCTTGCAAGGGCTGGCTTAGACTACAGAAATAGTTTGCTCCTCTGAGGAATTCTTGCTTTCATTAATAGTAGTAAAAGCTACTGCTGTTGCTTGAATTTAGCTCTGGAACTGGGGTTTCAGTATCCCATCCACTGAGCACTGCTCTTGGCGCAGGTCTCTGGCCAGAGTGACCACAATGGAAAAGCTAGGTAGGCGTCAGGTGGCATGCCTGGTGTTATTCTGCTGTAGGCCTAGGGAAGGAAAACACTGCTGTCCTCAGCTCGGGTATTAAGTAGCTTCCAAAACAGTTTGGAAGATGCCAGTAAACTCCATGCAGTTTGATACAGGCTCCAGCAATAAGATCCATTTTCTGGTCTAATTGCTGTACCAGACTTTGTGTTGCTTCCTAATTCTCCTAAGGCCCAGATACATCTCTTGCAGAGGAGGGAAGGTAGAAGGGAAGCACCAAATCCGTGTTGCAGACAGTGCTGAGTGCTATTGCTCCAGCTATCAGAAAAGACTATTTGTGTCTTTGGCCAGTATAACCAGTACCCATCTAGGGTGTGTGTTGGGCGGGGAGGGGAAATCTGTTGCAGCTGCTTCCTTTCTGACCCTCCAGCTCTTGGTTGCATCCCAAACCACTGCAGTTATCCTTTGGTTTGGGCTCCAGTGGTTCCTTCTGCTCTACTGCTGGTAGACCCATCTCCACCGCCTCAGGTGGTCCTTCCTTGTGCGACCACAATAGCTTCATTAACAGAGAAGCAAAGAAAAGGGAAGGGAAAGCACCTAAATCTGTGCTGCTGTTTTAAGTGTCCAGCCATCCAGAACTGTTCTGAAAGATCACTTACTTCCATATGTCCAAAATCCAGGAGACAGCCATTCGGAGATCAGCCCCTCTCAGCCGAAGACTCCTGCAGCCAGGAATGGCCTGGTTCTTAGCTGGTGGAGAGTCAAAGGCTCCTACAGGCTTGTGTTCCTCCATCTCTGCCCAACAGCTTTTGATTACTCTTTGGACTGCCTCTAAGCACAGGAAACAGCATTTTAAGTGGCTGCTGTCTCTTCTGAAGATGTTTGGCTCCAAAGATCAAAGATTGGAGAGCTTTATTCTTCAGCTGGGTTCAAGTAGAGAATGATGGTTGCCTTACACATACTAAAAGCTAACAAACTCCGCAGATGCTCTGTGCACCATTGCTGTAGCAGGGTAGCAGCAGACCATGTCTATAGGTGCCCTCCCTATAGGGGACTTCTGCATGGAAGAGAATTTAAGTTGCAAAGGACTTGGAAGGTGAATAGTCAGGGTATTGGAGGTGCTGCTGGACTTATATGGACTGAGCAGGGGAGATGCTGGCTGGAGTCAGAGCATGCAGGTGAAGCCTGGGTCAGCTTTGTGCCCTGCCCTCTTCTTCTTCCCCTATCCTAAGGCAGCAGCCATATTCCCGGGGGAAATCTATGGATGGCCACAGTGTCCTGATATTTTAGTTGTGTCTAATAACTCTAAAGCATTACTTAAAAGAAATACTCCAGTATTTCTAAGGTAAGCAGATGCTATGAATTTGCATTAAGAGATGGTTTCTGCAGTGTGCAAGTAAAATGCTCTAGGGGAGCAAGGTGGAGAAAAAGAGGGTGTTCTTGCTTGAAAACATCTCTCTGGATGTTGACTTGTGTGTGACTCTGGTTGTGGTCACTGATTAGACAAAGCTTGATGCTCTGTGCTCATCCACTGTCTGGAAAAGGAAAGCCATGTTGCTTGGAGGCCTTTAAAGTCTATTTAGTTGTAGGAGACTATGCTCTGTGCCAGCTGCTGAGTTGAACTGAGGATCCATGTAGGCTGCTTTTGGCCTTGTTGTGATGTTATGGACGTGTTGTACAACAGCTGTTCCCACATCCTGGAGCAGCCAAGGGAGCTGGCTGCTGGTGCTTGAGGAAATACTGCTGGAAACAGCCCTAGCCTGAGGGGGTGTCCTGTCCTTAGTGTGCTTGGCCTTTCTGCCCCAGGACCGGGGGGGAAAGAGGACTGAGGATCCATCTTCACCTGGTCAAGTGTGTGCTCGGGTCCCTTGGTCCAAGCAGGGGTGCAAACCTTTGAACCTGCTGGATCAAGATGACAGCAGCAGTGTCTCCAAGACCAAAGGGACCAGAGCAGTGACTCAGCAAACTGGGGACTGATTCCAGCTGTGCAATCACTTCAGTTCAGATGTAGAACATGCCAGAGAGGGTCTGGGGTGTCCGCTGAACCCACCTGACTGCTCCGGTGCATCACATCCCAACCTCTGAAAACCTGTCCTTGGCCTCTAAGTGAGCACTTCTGTGCAGCTCAGATGCTATTTCTTACCCTCCTCTGTACTTGGTGCTGATAATTACATCCCTTGGGTTTGGAGGTAGCATTTTGGGGTATCTTAAGAGGTGTTCATTGACTCTTTCTATTCCCACCACACTACTCAGCACAACTTTCAGTGCTCTCAAATACTTGTTTTTCTCACACCCACCCAAACCCTCCTCTTTGGCTGTGGTTGAGCTTTTTTCCTACCTGCTCAGTGCACACACAGTCCCCAAATGACTGTAAATAAAGCAGTTTGGCAGCAGCATGTGAGCTATGCTGACAGCTTGGTACATTAGACAGAGTGGATTAAAACTAATCCTGTTGTGTGGTAGCAACTCAAATACCTCGGGCAGAGCTGCTTTTGCTGTATGAGCAGCTGGGCTCCCACACAGAAGAGGAATATCTGAGACATGCGTTTGGATGAGGTTCTGGACACTGATGGTCCTAAGTATGGA